CTCCCACTCTCTCTGAAAAGCAATGGGAAAAATATCCTCAGGTGAGGATTTAAAAAAACCAAAAAACCATCAACTCATTTTATCATCCTAACGATTGGGCAACAAAGGCCACAATGCCCATTTTATAAATGAGAAAACAGGCTCAGAAAGGTGAAGTGAATCCAGAATCTGGACCTCGAATTCTAGGATGCAAACTCTTTCTCTGGTACCATAGAAGTTCTCCTAGTTAGAGAGTTGACTTAAGTACAAAGTATGCCTGGTAATCTCAGTAAGTGCAATAGGAATGGCGTGAACTGGCGGGCTTAGAGAAAGGCTAGTGGAGGCTGACCAACTAACATTGGCTCCAGAGGGCCCAATTGAATTTGGTTAAGTTGGCAAGAGGACGATGGGTGGTGGAGGTGGGGACAGAAAGGAGGAGAAGCCACTAGTGTCTTCTGGGCACATGTAGTCCACTGGGTGCTAGTGGGTGAGTGAAAGTCTGAGCTCTTTGGGAAGGGGTGAGGGGAAAGGGAACTGGTGTTATGCCAAAAGAAGGCAGAACATAGGGTTACTACCCTTTGGCGATATCTTTACTTGGACAAATAAATGCAATGGAATCAGAGTAGGGGTTTGTTTTAGAAAATGGAGAGAAAAAGCTCTGGCCCATTTGGCTCAGTGGTTAGAGCGTCGGCCAGTGGACTGAAGGGTCCTGGGTTCGATTCTGACCAAGGCACATACCTTGGTTGCAGACTTGATCCCCAAGGGGCAACCAATCAATGTGTCTTTCACATCAATATTTCTCTCTCCCTTCCATTCTCTCTGAAAAGCAATGGGAAAAATATCCTCAGGTGAGGATTTAAAAAAAAGAAAAAGAAAATGCAGAGGGGGTAAAAAAGGAGCTCATGTAGCTGTTTCTGGACCATGAGTCCTGGACATAGAGATTGAAGCAGGGGACAGAGAGCCCGAAAAACAACGGTGCTTCGAATCCATCAGGAAATTAGGCAGCCCCTGAAATGACAGCGGTTAGGAAGGCAGCCAGACTCAGACCACACACGGCTTTCAGGCCCCCAGGTGTGCTGGCAAATGAGCCACTGGGAAGCCAAACATTTCAGATTCTCCCAGAAGCCCTGGCTGACTTGGTATCCCCAAATGGGGCTGGGCTCCTCTGTCACAGAGGGAACTATGGGACCTGGCCCAAGTGGCCTCTCTGAGATGCTTATATAATTCTATTTTTCAGGTCTAAAGGTTATTTAACTGAAATTTCTTAATCAAAGTTTCTTTCTGAGAGTGAGCCCATGCCAGCTAAATGGCAACATAAATGGCAGTGAAAGGCTTACTGCCTTCTGCTCCTGGCCCTAGGAGGGGCTGCTGACTCAGCCAGCATTTCTCTGGAACCCCCCAAATGGAAGGCTTCTCCAGGGTTCCTTTGAAAAGTCAGTTTTCCTTTCCTACTGGCCAGCGCTCAGAGAGGGAGCCTGGCAAGGGACTTCCCTAGCTGCTGCCTTGGGCTTCAGCCAAAGGCGGGAGCTGCATCCAGAACATTTCCTTGAATGTTACAAATCAGGGGTCAGCAAACTTTTTCTGGAAAAGGCCAGATAGTAAGGATTTTTTACTTGTGGGCCAAAACTACTCCAGGTGGCCATTGTCGTGCAAAAGCAGCCATAGATAAAGTGTAAGTGAACAGGTGTGGCTATGTTCCAACAAAACTTTATTTATAAAAACAGGTGTTGGGACCCAGTTTGCTGAACCCTGTCTCATGAAGCATCAGCAAGCCCTTCAACTTAGCCCTTGAACTCTTGCCTAGGGCCCAAAGGGAAGACTTACATTCTGCAGCAAGGTCTAAAATTAAGGAAATTTGCCCGGCCGGTGTGGCTAAGTGGTTGAGCCAAGAGGTCACTGGCTCAATTCCGGGTCAGGGCACATGCCTGGGTTGGGGCTCAATCCCCAGCAGGGGGCGTGCAGGAGGCAGCCGATCAATGACTCTCTCTCATTGATGTTTCTATCTCTCCCTCTCCCTTCCTCACTC